CCATGTAGCCAACCTTTATATATAAAAAATAAAGAAAAAACAGGGAATGGCAATAATTCGATATAAAACATCAAACAGCACCAACACCACCAATCAAGCCATCAAAATAGAGACATACAGCGACAACACAAAAAGGAAAATGTACAGAAGGTAGTCAGAGAGAAGTCCCGACTTGGTACAGGCACGCTGGCAAAACTTGGCAGAGTGGTGGGGTTGAACCATGTTTATGGGTACACTAACCTTGCCCCTCAATCTACTCGACTTCCTATCAAGATTCGAAAGACGCGCAGCAAAAAGACTTGCACAATACAATTGCCAACTCAGCGTCCATATAAGTTAGAAAAATTGGTTATAATCAATACTAAAATAGTTAGAGGATATACAGATCTGTACATTGTACATGTACTACCTCTACACAAAATGATACAGTTACATATAACCAATATACCACTTTAAAGCTTGAAGTTGTTGAAAAGTCATGGGGTTTTATAAGATTAAGTATATAAAGAAGTTATGCAGTTATCCATTTACGTTCAAGATATGAAGGCAACTTAGTAAATTACAAATAAGTTTTAATAACCAGTTTAGTTATTTCTTTCAATGACTTCCAAACATTCAAGATAAAAATCTATTCCAAAGTTAGTATTGCTTCTTATCAATTGTCGAGTTAAATCTAGCCTGTATTGATCACTTATCATGTGTGCAAGGGGTCCAAATATTGGTCTCTCGTCCTCTTCTACATCATTTTGATCCACATAGCCTTCAATTCCATAATCTTGCAAATTTGCTTATCCTTCGGTAATTCCTACGGCATTTTGAAGTTGACATGAAGTCCACAAGCTCAATGGAGATGAATTAACAGTGCGTAGTCTATGACCAGCCCATACCTCTGCCCAAAATTGCAGCTTCCTGTTTATTTCGTCCATGAAAACAAAGTGGAGAGCAGCTAAGTTTGTCAGTTTTAGTGGGTCTAGATAACCTTCATCTTCCATGAAATAAAATAAGTTGTAAAAGTAACTAAGCACACCTTCATACACATCTCTCCATAGTCTCTCAATCCGTTGATTATGAGTGCTTTTTCCCGTTACCATACTGTTTGGGCCTTTTTGAATCAACTTGTAGTTTGCCACAGAAACATTTTCCAATCCTTTGTCAGACCTAACTTTATCGGGTATCCCATACTTTGCAACACCGGAGAAGAAACAATCCAAAACTGTTCTTGATGTGTTGTTGTCGGTACATTTTAAAAATGTTATCAATCGACTAAATCCGTCAATGCCACCTACAATAACAAATCTCCACCGGACAAGTTAATGATTTGTATCTTTGTGCCAGAGGTGATTTGGACCCATTACATTGTAAACACACCTATGAAGCCTACCAGTACGTCTCGCCTGTACACCGGCAGTATCTAATCGATGCATACACTCCCTCAGTCTCCATTTCTGTACTCTTATGCCTTTTAATAGAAGCATCTGTTGCAATAGTGTTTCGCCACATAATGGAAACTCTTTCATTATTTGTCCAAGTGTCAAGTCTAAATCACTGTCAACAATTTGTGTAAAATTCATTTTTGCTTAATCCGAACTGTGACATTCTTCGGTAAATGGTGCTTTCAGACATGGACAACAATTTAGAAATGTCGGATATTTTAAATCCATTTTCCAGAACATTTTTTAGAACAGACTTTGGAATATCAAATTTCGAAGGGCCGCATTCAGAGTTTATTTTATTAGGGGCAGAGTCTTGACGTTCCATATTTTACACATTCAGTTCTTAACTTCATCATATCTGCCCTTCTAGTTACACCTAATATTTCCATTTCATGTGTCGAAAGCCTACATACAATGTCTGGAGTGATTTTGTCTCTCTCAAAGTTTGGAAATGCTTGCTGCAAGTTTAATTTCTGTAAAACGTTTAACATTTCAGTATTCACAGCCATGGCCGCCATGTTGGTTCGGTGAGATTCAAATACACGCCACGCTTCCGGTTAATCACGGGAACCACCATCACATAATAAAAAAGCACCTTATTATAATAAAAAAGCACCATCGTATAATAGAAAAGCACCTTCGTATAATACAAAAGCACCATCGTATAATAGAAAAGCACCATCGTATAATAGAAAAGCACCTTCGTATAATAGAAAAGCACCTTCGTGTAATAGAAAAGCACCATCTTATAATAGAAAAGCACCTTCGTATAATAGAAAAGCACCATCGTATAATAGAAAAGCACCTTCGTATAATAGAAAACCACCTTCGTATAATAGAAAAGCACCATCGTATAATAGAAAAGCACCTTCGTATAATAGAAAAGCAATAAAAAAGACACATAAGACAGCTATGGCGTTCCATACAAATCTGTGTTAGCTGTCTCAACATCAACAGAATCTAGTCCTTTAAAAAAAAATAAAGACTCTATAGGTATAACAGGTTGTTTTTTTTTTCTTTTCCCTTGGTTTAATAGTTTCCAGAATTCTCCTGGATTTTTCGATTTAAAATTTTCATTTCTTTCATAATTTTTTTTATGTAAATTAATTTTTTTATCTAAGTTTGTTTTTATATTTTTTTCAGTAAGTCGTAAGTTCTGCTTTTGTTGAACAGAAGATTTTTTATAAATGTTTCTCTTTAGTTTCCTATAATTTTGCCTAGCAAATCTACAACATGCTCATCTATTCGAGAAATAAACAATGTCTTTCCGAAATGATAGGCACATTCTATTTACACAGACTTTGCATTGAAATGGATGTCGAAATTATTAAGGTAAAAAAAAACGAAAACTATTTCCAATTACATATCAGTAAATAATTTGTGTACAATAAATATTTCCGGAAAATCGCAACTATTTATAAATAAAATTAAATCAAAGATATATACCGAAACCATAGGATTTTTTTTTATTTAATCATTTCAAAACGTTACTCGTGTGTTCATTTTCTTTCTTTCTTATTTTGTGATTTTTAGCTACGAGAAACGGTCATCAGCTCGCTTTTAATTAAAGAAAAATTCTACAAGCCATTAAGACTTTAACTGATTTCAACTCCCATTCAGCATTCAAAATCTGGCTTAAATAGTCACAACCCGATGATGTATGTCAACCAAAAAAGTTACAAATATTCGATTGTCTCTGTCATTAGAGGGAATATAAATTAATGTGTTTTTGTATATTAAAATGAATTTATTTAGATGATAAGTGAAAAATTGCAAATTTTCCCTTTAAAGTCGATAATTTTCATGTTTCCTAAAAAATTTCTAGGTAGTTTTTAAATTCAATATATGTTGGAGATATTTCGCAGAAATTAACGACATCTTATCCAACTATTGTGACAAAATATTTGATAAAACTTTATAACAAACTAGGTCAGAAACTATTATTTCACTTTAAGTGGAATAAATATCAATACTACAACGTATAATTGGGTATTGTGAATACTAATTTAAATAATCTTCTATCTTTATCCTTACAAGATTAATACAAATGAATAATTAACTATGTCATGATAGAACAAATCTCTAATGAGATATGAATCAAATTAACATCACAAACAGCTCAACATTTATTATATAACTTTGGACTTAATATAAACATCTGTTCTTAAATAACTTAAGAGTTAGTCTTTCTTTCGGACAGTTCCATATTTCGCTTTAATAATTAAGAAAGTTGCTTTGCCATAGCATTAGCGCGTACTGCTATATATATAAGCTTGAATTAGAGTTGACTCGCAAAAATGCGAACCTCACCTTAATAGGTGTCAGTCGACCCCGGCTTGTCTCTACAGCGACAGATATGCCTTATACCATCCTAGGTATTGCAACCAGCTATAGTCTCCCCAAAATGGAAAGGTTTAGTTTCTACTCTCACATGAGTCGCTCTTCTGTTGAGAGTAAGAGAAAGGAACACAAAGATGGACCATGTTATACTGATATGAACATAATAGTTATTTATTTATTACAATACTAATGTTAATAATATCAAGATTAAGGTGGATAGTTATGAGATTAAAGTTTTAAATATCAAGATAAAAGTTGATAATTTCGAGATTAAAGTTTATAATTTCAAGATTGAAGTCGATTATTTCGAAATTAAAGTCGATAAAATTAAGATTAAAGTCGACAATTTTTAAATTAAGTTGAGCCGGCAAATTCCAAGATTAAAGACGACGTTTAAAAACACAAAAAAAATAATACTATACCCCTAAAACCCTTCCGTAACATACTTGAAAACGTTGTCATTATTTTTGATACTTTTTCATTGAAACAAAGTCTGAATTTATTTCCATGTATAGAACACTGGACACTTTTAATTTGCAAAACACTCATTTGCAAATCCGCCGCCGCCTCTCCTTAGACCTACAATGTCGTGTATATAACCAAAATGTGCGGAATTACATGGGATTCAATAATTTCATTGCTTTTCTACTGTTATTATTATATATATTCTGTAATTTGATTTAGAAAAACATGGGATTTTCAATATCCCATGGGATTGACCATTATCCCATGGGATTTTGGTTAAATCCCATCGGATTTTTTTGGGTCCCATGGGATAATTGTAGTCCCATGGGATATTTGTTGTCCAATGGGACAAACAAAATCCCATGGGATTTTTAATGTCCCATGGGACAAAATAAAATCCAATTAATCCTATGGGATTCAAATTATAAATATACAGTAATGTGTATGTTTCAATGAATTCTGTTTGGTAGTAAAAAGTTTATAATATATATATGACATGTATGAGTGTATTTTGGTTTTTTTCATTTTGTCACAAACATGTTTTTAATTTGTTTATATGACAATAAAGATTATTATTATTTTGGAAAGTATAATACTATTTAAAGTAAAAAAATAAAATCCTTTAACTGAAATAAAATGATGACATGTCTTAATAAAAGAAAAAAATATTGATTTGAAATCTTTGTCTTGTTTGTTTTATTATGAAAAATAGAACTGAAAAAAATATTTCATATTCTGACTGAATAAATTGACAAAGCACAGTTAATAGTTTACTCTTTTCATGAGTTAAAGTTTTCTTTGTTATAGTTCCATTGCAATACATGAATATCCAAACGATTTGAATCTTATACCTTTGTGGTGTTCATAATATTACGTTTATATTTGCAAATTTATAAAATAAACACTTTTCCTGTTAAGTTTTAGTTTTTCTTGTTTCAGCTTGCTATGTACAATTATTCAGTCCACTATATAAGAGTCAAGTAAATAAATTATTTCATCCACTAGAATATTTCTACAATTCTAAGACAAAACCTCTTTTGCAATCTGTTCTTCAAAAATCTTCCACCGTACATCTTTATTGGATGGAGCCATTTAAATGAGTGGACAAAGCAAGTTCATTTGGACAACAAAATACTAATATATTTTTTCATTCCTCCCTTCTTTCAATTGATAATTACGTTGCTGCCTTTACATGATTAAGTTCTTGTGCATCTATGATCATGATGATATGACGCCTTTTTGTTTATAGTCATTATGATGAAATTTCCTCTTTCTTATACATATGTAGGAAAAACACACATTCCATTTCAAATTAATAAAAAAGTCACACTATGTAGAAAAATATCAACTTTAAGTTTTCTGTTCAGTATTGACTTGTTGAATGATGATCATGAAAACCAAGATGTCTGACCTACAAATACACACAACTCAAAAATTATAAATGAAGAGAAATACAGCAATAAAATGGCTATTTTATCATGTTTATGTACATTTTGATAAAACTTTCATTTGAATATTTAAAATTGTAAGAACTCTTATTTCAGTGCTTTGTGTCTATGGTTTTCATATTAGTTGTTTTTTGTGCCTTGTTGCAGTCTTTTGAGTTAAGCCAATTGCAACAAATGTTTTCAGTTTGTTCAAATGTTGTGCTGTTATTAAAACCACTGTCCCAGGTTAGGGGTGGGTTGGGTGCTCACAAAATGTTTATTTTATTAGTTGATATTTGCTTTGAATTAGCTGTCAGTAACTGTCAGTACTAATAGATCTATATGTTGAGTCTTTTTTGTTAAAGGGAAAGAATAAATTTCCAGCCACATCCGGTCTGTGTTTTTGGTAGCTGTTTTTCTGCTTTGTTGCATTCTAATGAGTTAATAAAATTGAAAATGAAAACGGGAATATATCAAAATAACCTGACCAAAGAGCAGAAAATAGCCCTTTTCAACTGATTTTATAGTTTTTATATTTAAATGAACTGACACTTACACCACTGTCCTTAATTAGAGGAGGATTTGGCGCCAGCAAACATGTCAAACCATGCCACATTTTGAAAGTGGCTGTCCCAAGTCAGGGGCCTGTTATTCAGTGGTTGTCAATTGTTGCTATATATCATATTTGTTTTTTATTTTTTGTTTTGTGCAAAAATCAGGCACTTAGCTTTCGCCTTTGTGGTGTTTCCCCCAAGCATGTTTAGCATGGATAGACACCATGCCCTTTTTAAATTGTTTTACATTTGTTATTTCATGGCCTTTTAAAGATTACTATGCAGTATAGGGTTTGCTCATTGTCGAAGGCTGTACAGTGAACAAATTTTGTTAAATTTAATGTCATTTGATCTCTATTGGAGAAAAGTCTCATTGGCAATCATACCGCTTCTTATCTTTATATCAACCCTGCCATATTTTGCCCGTCCAAAATCAGGAGCCTGTGCATAGTTCAGTGGTTGATGTTGGTTCAAGTCCGTCATATTTGTTTTTTCATAACTTGTTTTTTTTTATAAATTAGTCTGGTATATTTGAAGTTTGAATTGATGTTTTGTTCCAAATTTTGTTTGTGGTGTCTTTTATAGATGACTATATCATGTATAGGGTATGGGTTTTCTCATTATTTACAGGTCATCATTGGCCTCTAATAAGTAATTGCATTGCTTACATCCACTTAATTGAACTCTGGTGGATAGTTTTCTTATTTATCATACCACATCTTATTTTCATAATAATCATTATTCAAGGGCAATAACTTTTATAGAAGTGGACTTACCATTTAGGCTTTGTTGACGTCTGTAAATCTATTTTTGTTGATAATTTCTTTTGTTTATAGTTTCCCTTTATCTTTAATGTCCTTGCCCTACACATAAAAGGGTAAACATTATCATTTAATGACAATAACTACTATCACATAATTAGTACTAGTAGGCAACTGACAATTTTGGATCATTTGTATATCTTGTCTTGCTCATCATTTTTGCTGTTTAATATTATCAATATTCTATGAAAATGAGGTCACAGCAATATTAACCTTGGCAGACAGACATCTTGTTATTTTTATATGACACCTTGCAGTCATTCCATACACCAACAAGTAGACATATGCTTATAATATCTGATAAAATGAAAAAACCAAGAAAACTTAGCATTGACCAAAGAACCATAAAATGCGATCATGGTTATATGAATCTGCCAGACAGACATGCATACCTTACAATCGTTACATCCACCAAATATAATTTACCTGTTGCTTAAAGCATATGATAAACTGACAAAACAATGCAAACTTTTCATTGACCAATGAACCATGAAAATGAGGTCAAGGTCATATAAAACATGCCAGACAGACATGTGCATCTTACAATCATTCCATTCACCAAATATAGGGGCCTTATTGCTAACAGTATCCGAAAAATAGATCAAACCACAAAAACTAAACATTGTCCAATGTACTATGAAAATAAAGTCAAGGTAAGATGAAACTTCTCAGTCAGACATATGCACCTTACAATCATTCCATACACCAAATATAGTTGACCTATTGCTAATTTGAAAATAAGGAAATAGAAAAAGTGACCAAAAAACAAACAAAAAAAATAACATTGAGCAATGAACCATAAAAATGAGGTCAAGGTTGAATAAAACATGCCAGACAAACATACATCCTTAAGGTGTAATACCACCAAATCATAGTACGTCACATCCGGTTGCATACGAAAATAGGTCGAAAAAAAATATTCCCTTGAATTTGACAGTTGTAGGTAATTGATCCTACATTTCATTGCAGTAAAACATTTCTGAGTCATAAACATATATCTTGGGTATTTCAAAGCACCATTATTTCTTTATTTGGGGTTTCTATAGAATATTTTGGAAACTTGAGATTACATGGTTACTAAAGCTTGTACACAGGTTAAAAAAGGGGGAAAATTTGATTGGTTAACTTCCAGTGATGGTTATTTTCTTATATGCAATGAAATGTTATGTGAAATTTTTTCTATAGTACTGGACAGGATAAAACTTTACTCATGCCAAGTATTTCTTTATTTGAAACAAAATAAATTCTGCACAATTTTTTGAAAAGTGCAAATTTAACAAAGACTAATAGGGGAAAATCAATGGTGGTATTACACCTTAAAAATTTTCATACACCAAATATACTTGACATGATGCATACAGTATTAGAAAAACTGGACATTTTTACCTCGGAATAGTGATGTCATGGACTAGGAAAATTAGTCTGGGGACATAAATTACTGACATCGGACTAAATATACTAGTAAATTCTGTATCCATGGACTTTTAATACTAGTTATATTTGTCTGACCAGACAATTTTCATTATTTTTACCAGGACTAATTTATCTCTTACACTAGTTCTCTGAGAGACATGTCACCTTACCTTGACACATTATTCTGACTCTGAACAAACCAGTATTTGCTCTTACACCTTAAAAATACAGCGTGCTTAAGGCAGAAGCAGCAAATACCAACTTTAAAGTCTTTGGTTTTACCCGGTTGGGTTCAAAATAAACAACCTTCTGCACTTGAGGTGAACACGCTACCACCAGACCAGGCAGTATAATATAAGGAGTTTACCCAAGATCTAAAACGGACAGTAGATTTTTTTTCCAACATTCTGGACATTTCTACCCTTGTCAGATATTGCCTATCTATTTTGGCCTTTTGTAGCTTATTACGCAGTTTGCCTTTTTAGCCCATTGTTGAAATCTGTACGGTGACCTATATAGTTGTTAACTTCTACGTCTTTAGTTTCTGTTGAAGAGCCGTCACATTGTCATGATACCATATTGGTATATATTTTTGTCATCTAGGTGTAAGGAGACAACCTTTTGATATTCTGGTGGGATAAAAAGGGGAGACAGATTTTTTATCACCTGGCCTGGTTAGTTTTTCAGGATTCGTAAGGATAGAAAACCCGGTAAATTGTAACAAACCCCTGTGGAACGACCATATATTTGCCAAAAGATTAGTCCAAATAATTATGATGTCTTGCAAGGCTATTTTAACTTTTTTCTGGGCACGTAATAGTCAAAGTTGTGACTGAGTGCGATAAATATGAAGATAGATAGATGAAAAAAAAATTAAAATAGCCTTGCAAGACGTCATAATTATTTGGACTACCAAAAGATGTAACCTAATTTTTACTTGTTTGGGGAAGAGGGGATTGACCGAACCACTATTCAATCTAAATCAGTGAACTGAATTATTGTCTTTTGCAGTAGTCCGAGTCGACATCTGTAACTAATCATGCAAATTGATAGTCAACAGTATACCTTTTTTCAGAATGTCAGCTTACAACAAAGAATCACTGGTGATAGGGGAGTGTAACCGATAAATTGATCCTGAATCAGATAAGATTTTCCCAGTAACGGAGAACCCCTTTCTTTGAGTGAATATAAATAGTGACGGGGGTCTCACAAATAAATATAAATCTGAATTACAGGAACATCGATTAGCAAAGTAAACTTACATATTAATCTCGAAGTTATTTACGGTAAAGAGAGACTGCATGTGCTCCTGAATTAAGGTATTATACATTTGTATATTTTACTCGGGGGGGGGGGGGGGGGGCACTTCCTATATACAAGATGATAGGACGTGCCGCTGGAATAGGTCACTTTTTCCTGCTTGAAAATATGGGAATAGGTGCAGGGGAAAACTATCAGAAATATATGATAAGGTCGATAAAGTTCCAATTACTAGTCATTTTTTCACAGCCGAAAGTCTCGCCGTAAGTAATCATTACACACAGAATCTTAGCCTTAAATATTCCACTTTTCCAACACACCCCACGAAACCCAATCAATATGGGAAAAGGTTACAATTTTACCCACGCAATATATGAAAAGGTATACATTTTTAAGATCTAAATTATATGAAAAGGGTGGGGTAACAGAACCCCAGCGACACCCCCTATCAATTAAGTATTGAAGTGCATAGGTTCATATCGTTTGATTCAACGTTTTTTCGGATATTTTTTAGGACCGTTGTCAACATAGTCAAATCCGACCTGCCACCAGAGACATATAATACAATATGTCTCTGCTGCCACTTTGCTACCTGACCTGCAAAAATATAATTCGACTAAAAACAATGCCAGTCAAAATTGGTTTTTGAGACTGGACGACTGAAAAACTTTTAAAACGTGACTTTGTGACCCTATTTGGAATTCTCCATTCTTCGGTGTGGCTAAAAATGGGGCATCTTTTTTTTCAAAACTCAGTGTCGTATTTTATTGTCTTCCCAACAATTTTTAATAAAAGCTTAAAATGTTTGTTTCACTTCCCTCTGACTTCCCTCCTGATTTTTTTTTCTCAAGAAATTATAGAATCAGTAAATGTATATATATATATATATATATATATATGTCTGTGGTCACCGTCATGCATTTAGATAAGAAATTCCAGCATGCATCATCAAATAATTCATGTGTATTTGTGACATCAACATAACTGAAACATTATATTATTTCCCAGTAATTAGGTAAATCATTTTGATTTACAATTATATATGCCTGGGACTTATGCATGTATATGTCTCACAGGCACTTGTCTCAGAAAAAAAATCCTATATACTTTAATAAAGGTATATAGGAAATAAAATTCTGAGACAAGTGCCTGTGATATATCTGTCAGTCCCAGAATAATAAATATAATTGTATCTTAATCTTTGGAAACATCCAATTAGTCAATTGTTAAATTCTTTTACTTCTTAATTATGTCAAAGTATACTTTTAAAGTTTTAAATTTTAAAGTTAAAATGAATATTCCGTTTTGATCTGAGGAAAAACTTTTTAAACTGTAATGACATGGTCAGTCAACTGATTTGTTACATGGCTGATTACAGGTAATTAAAGCATGCAGTAATTTTCCATTACGACAGTGCGTGTACCCTGGGGTGTGTATAACGTATTAGAAATACCTTAGTTATCTAGAGAACATCCTGTCTATGTGTAATACAGATTGATGACATTACACAATATTTCTTTCGTTAAATGTAGTTAAGTATCTGTGTCCATTCCCTATTGCAACACTACAAATTTTTCGTAGAAAAAAATGTTAAAATTCAAAAAAAAAATCATTTATATAAAATAAAGAAGAAAAAAGTAGCAAATAAACTTATGTAACTACGCATTTAGTAAACATAATTTCACTTTACATGTACAAACCCTTGAGAAAACGTGTATATAGTTGTGTTTAAAAAGGCCAATTCCCAGTGGATTTATTTCACACTAGGACCACAGACACTTGTCTCAGAATTTTGTTTCCTATATACCTTAATATAACATTAAAAGTATATAGGAAATTTGTTTTCTGAGACAAGTGCCTGTGACTAGGACCTAAGATAACTAGAACTAAGTTCTTTGGAAAGTTTTTTGTCTGATACATGTATACCTATAGATAATGTACATAATTAAGAATAGCTTCAAATATATGCCTATAAATTAACGGTACGTCTAAAACCGCTCAGGATCTCCTGAGTGCAGACAGGACATAAAAAGTCACTCAGGACATGTATATATGTTTTTCGTCTAGTAATGGACTTCTGATTTTAGTGAGCGTTGTTTTATTTTAGAGATATTGAGATTTTGTAAAAAAAAAAAGGGGGTTTTCGCATGTCACGCCGTATGTCAGAAACTATTTATGCTTATTGCATAAAAATTCACACACAAGACGACGGGCGTATCATGCGCTCATGGCGCATGCTGTTTATTGATCTTATAATTTTGGTTTTGATAAAATCAAACCAACATTAAAGAAGTTATTTGGGATACGTCATGCATAACCGATGATCATATTCAATACCAATCATCATTTTGATTAGGTCGTTTGATCTTAAATAATTAGGACTGATTGGTGATGGTTATAAACACATACAAGTAAACTTTGCGAAAAAAAAAAAGAAAGCGTTTCCTTGGAAAAATTATAATGATACATGAATATTGTTTTTACAAAAAAAAGTTATTTTTTTCGTTTTGTATGTAATAATTGAAGCCATTTAGAAATATAAGAAATCTTCACATAGTCGGGAAATTTTCAATTCAAGTTATTTCATTTGAAAACGTTAAAAATATAGATCTTATTCGATGTAAAATGTGGGGTCCTTGGAGATCAAAACCCCGTTTAAATAGGGTTTGTCTACTTTCGTCTATTGCCGAACATTCTATAATCAAGGATTTGTACAAATCCTTGCTATAATATAATGAATCGCGTCTCCAATATCACCACCATTAAATAAAGTACAAATACAATCTTCTAAATATTTGGAATCTAACAATTTCATCAGGAAATTTTGAGTCACGATTTAGTTTTGGGATATTTTTTTCTTTGAATAAACTTAATTTTAAAAACGTTTCAGTATTTTTCTGAAACATTTTTAAAAGGAAACGGACTTGTAAACAAAATTTATTTTTGAATATTAATATTGAACAATGATTGTTAAGAAAACAATCTGCCAAAGTGGTTTGGTAATTAACTGGCTTCATGCTGTCAAAAATGTCTCCTTTTTATAAGTTAATGATAAGAAAAAAACTATTTGAAAGCGAATTAATCATTTCCTCAACTAAATACCATCTATAAATAAAGTCAATTCGTCAAGAACTTTCTCTCATATATTTAAACAATTGTAAAATAATTAATTTAAACTTTTGTACTGCGACTTTCTGTCCGTTTACCGATACTTATTCCTTGTTAAGTTTTTTCATATCCATTTACGAATACTTATAATATGATAATTTTTCCGGATGCTTTTTATCCTATTTTCATATCAAACAACAATGTTACCCGTAGAACGGAGTTAAGTACAAATTTAGGAATTTAGTACTTAAAATTTTCAACAACAAAATTTTACACTTTCATTTACCTGGATTTTTTTCTACGCTTCGAAGCCGCCACCCTGTATCAAACATAGCCAACACCACGCATGGCGTATTCACGATGTTGAGGGATTGACAATATACAGCAAGTAAGTAATTGGGTATTGAATGCCAGTAGATCTGAATTGTAAATTTTTAAATTGAATTTAACCTGTTTAGAACGTGTATTGTTGAATTGTTTAATAAAATTACACACACAATCTGGGCTGATATGCATAAAACCACTTTAAGTTCAAGGTATCAATGAAACTGGGTCTGCATGAAAAAATGACTTATCACATAGTACCAGAACCTATGTTTACTGTTAGATGATAAGAAAATATAGCTGTAGGCCTAGTTGAAAATCTTTACAATTATTTATTCTTTAAATTTCTATTTGACTGTCTGGGTGCTTCTTATGTGTTTTAAATGTTGTACGTCATTTGGTCGTTTTTAAGTTTTTGCCATGGCGTTGTCAGTATGTCTTCGACTTATAAGTTTTATATAATCTGCATCTCTTGTGCTGTATGTTAAAATTTATCTACACAATTGCTGCATCTTTACACAT